CATGCTTCCTCCGCAGATGCAAGCCGAAGAGCCGAGAAACTGGTCGGAGCTACCGTCGGAGCTGATGTCTTCGATCATGCTCCGGCTTGGCGCGTTTGAAATACTTGAAAACGCTCAGAAAGTGTGCACATCGTGGAGGCGTGTCTCTAAAGAACCCTCGTTGTGGCGGAAAATCGACATGCAAAATCTGAAAACCAGTGAATACGACTTGGAGTTGGATAGAATGTGCCGTCACGCAGTTGATCGTAGCGTTTGGTCGAAATCAACCTCGGCGACATGGGGACCGATTCTCTCCTCAACTACATTGCGGACAGGTTTTGTCTCTATTCCTAAACACTCGCTCGCTGCTACTCTTAGCAGAAGAAGACCATCAGATTATGGCTACTCTTACTTCATTAGAGTTTTGACCGTTTCTCTAATATACTAATCCTAGCTCCCAATCTAAACAACTATGATTCTAAGATTGTTACATCCTTCTGAGTTGATCAGTACTATGAGAATCTCTACACGAAATCATTTGCAGATCAAGTAATCTGAGAAGCCTTGGACTTGCAATGAACTTTCTAGTAACGGAGAAGGGACTTGTGGACACAGTTTCAAAACTTCCGTTGCTTGAAGAGCTCGAGGTCACATTGGCATGGTTAAAACTGGATTTGAAAGGTATAGGTCATTCTTGTCCAAAGCTAAAGACATTGAAGCTAAACTGCTCACATTACATACCCTTTCTCTTGGAATTTAATGATGATGATGATGGCTTAGCAATCGCCGAAAGCATGCCCCAACTACACCACCTCCAGCTTATTAGGGACAAACTAACTGATATCGGGTTACATGCCATTCTTGACAATTGTCCTCACTTGGAGCACCTTGATTTACGCAAATGTCACATTAACCTTTCCGAGGACTCGGTGAAACGATGTTTGGAGAGGGTCAAAGATTTTAGACACTCAAACTGTTCAACCGCTGATTATACCGCCTTTTACAATAAATTTAGATGGGTGTGAGGAGCTTGCAGGTGTCTCTGACTACTTCGACTATCTTTGAGACTAGATGTGGAATCTTTCTGAACACGGCAGAGACAGGTACTTGTTTTGAGGGTGAGACTGATTTCTCAGGCGGCGACTACGATTATTATTGTTTTTTTTTTACAAGTAGATATGACTAATGGACTCGTTTGTGTCATTTTTATTCTCTATGTTCGTAGTTTTGTGTGTTTTGCTATTTCTTTTGAACCGTTAAGAAGATGCTTTGATCCCTTTTTTAACCAGGTACATTAATTATCGAACAAATGACTTGAGACTACATTTAGAGAAGATCAAAGAATTGAGACGACTGATAGATCAAGAAGTTGTCGATTACTCATATTACTATGACATACCGAGTTATGTCGACGATCAATCTGATCATTCTTATTATGACTAAATAAGGATACACAGTTGGATCATTTTGAAGAATGCAATGATATAATCTTTGCCTTTGTAAAATCCATGACAGAGTTAGAAGATTATCATTGCATTCTTCAGTGAAATCTTTCTTAACTGTGCAGAGACAGGTATTTGTTTTGCTGGTAAGATCAGTGGCTAGTCTTGCTATTGACTTATGAACAGTGGAGACAGGTACTTGTTTGCTATGCCTTTGGAAAGTTTTTGAGAATAGGTTTAACACGTTTTTTGCAGCGCAAGCCAAACTCTTTTATGAAAATCGCCTTCTTGTCCGGGCAAACCCCTAAAAAACACTTAGATGAATTATGATTGTTTTAACATTATAAACCAGAAAATTTTAAAATTCGCCGTTGCCAGGGTTCGAAGCCGGGTCACCCGCATAGCGGGCGGGAATACTTACCACTATACTAACAGCGACTTGTTGCTAAGTTCCATGATAGTCGAGTTTTCT